AGAATAAAACATCAAAGGCTTTATTTCTTTATTGATCTCATTTCTATGTTATTATGTATTTTTTTGATGTTGTTTTGTGATAACATGAGTATATGATGAAAGAGGAAAGAAAAGATTATATAATAGAGGAACTTAAATGAAAATACTTTAGTAAATTATCTTAAAAATATAGATAATAGATAAGGAGATAGTAAAAAGAGATAAATACTAATGCTATCTTCTTGAAGAAGAGACTTCTATTTTCTTAGTAGAGGCATAAGTAAGCCAAATCAAAGTAAATGAGATAAATAATTAATATTAAAAAATTTAGGAAGAGATTAAGATTAAGTTATAGCAAAAATTACCTCAATATATAAAGAATTGATACCTAAAGAGAATGAGTTGTGAACCATGATCAAAATCAAACACTAAGATACAAAACTACATACCTATAGCAACTTTAGGATTCTTTGGTTGATCATACAATGGGATTTGAAAGCAAACTTGTGAGAGGAATTTTGAAAGTTGATTTCATATGATTTGAAGGCATATTGAAGTTGTGAGGGCTTTTCGAAATGAAAGATGTATTCAATAGATTTGAATTTTGTGATATAAAAAAACATCACAAATTTGAGGATTTTTTATTTTTATAGAATATTTATAAGTGATTTTTTTTAATTTATATATTTTTTGTTTTAAATATGTTTGAAAATTTTAGTATTTATCAAATTTTTAAATTAATTATTATGAAAGTTTTTGTGGATTATAGGCTCCAATAATTGAAATTTAGGAATAATAAAGATTTTTTCAATTTCACAATATCTGCCAATTTGATTGAAGCACAAATTGGTAAAATCAATTTAGACTTAGAAATCTATACTCTAGCCAATTTTTTAAGCAATTTAATGATTTAGCAAAGAAAAAAAGTTGTTAAAAGATTAACATTGAAGTTAGAGGAGGATGGATTCAAAAGTAGCTAATTGCTTATAGATTGAATTGTGAGTGAAATTTTAGTCAAGATCAATCATTTGATTAATATTTATTAAGATTTTAATACAACTTTAGGAAGTGGTTAAGATTTATTTAGAATTTTTTTTGATTTGGTTTAGAATTTAGGATTTAATTAAAGTTTCATAAATATTTTATTAAGATTTTATTAGGATTTAATTAAAATTTAATTAGAATTTTGTTAGAATTTGTTTAAGATTGTTAGAGTTTCATTAGAGGTTGATTATGGCTACATCAAGATTTCATTAGGATTTATTTAGGATTTTTATTTTTATTTTTCTTTATGATTTTTTATTATTTTTTAAAATATTTCTATTTTAGTATTTTAAATAGGTTATTTTTATTTATTTAATTTTTTAATTTTTTAGATTTTTTTATTATTCTTATTTGAGATTAATTTCTGCCTTTTTATGCTTTTTTGTAATTTCTTTTGTACTTTTTTTAAAAATTCTTTTGAATTGATTAAATTTTGATTAGGATTATTAAATATTATTTATAATTTAATTAAGATTCTATTAAACTTAGTAGGATCTTGTTGTTGCATTTTCTATTTGCCTTTCACAACTAGGTGCCAAGTGCATTCTCAAGCAAGAATTCATGTTATACAACAATGTCAATGATGCAAAATTTTGCATTAGCTATTAGGGTATCAATGAGGTAATTTCAATTCTAATCATGAATTGTCTTTTTGTATTATACTAACAAAAACTTGTGTCATTGGGCACGAAAACTTATGCCTTCGGATATTGCAATCTCTTGCATTGTCATCCATCCATTGTCTCATTCAATCATGTTTTTTCATTTCCATGTTCAACCAATGAAAAGACTTCTTTTTCTTTTTGTCTTATACCCAAGTTGTTTTATATAAGAAACTAGCAAATGTGTTATACAACTTTTCAAGAAAACAAACATCTACAAAAATCTTTAGTATAAGTTAACTTAGACATGAATGCACAAAAAAAAAAAAAAAAAACATTATTTTTTTTTTAAAACAAGAAAAAAAAAAAAAACACCCACTTCCAAGTGCCCCCACAACTACCCAAGCCATCGGCTTTTAACACGAATTATAAAAAAAACACACAAAACAAAAAATGGATAGATACATATATATATATATATATATATATAAAAGCTGAAACCCTTGACTTCCCTCCCTCCGTCTCTCTGCTTAGTCCAAGTTCGTTCAAGCATCCAGCGAGCCCATTAAAATTGACATGTACGAAGACGTCATCCTTATCCTGCAATGTCGTACTGGAAGTCTGTTGTGAATGCGCACTTCATAGTTTGCTGCCGTGTGCAGAGAGCGGACAGAGAAGCGGGGTTATCGAGGCCCTGGAGAAGCAGTTGCTGCAATTATTTGTGGAGCAGAACCGATGGCGGTGACCATAGTGTGGCTGTAGACCCAGTTTCTTGCAGAGTAGCTGTCCACTGCGAGTGGGCCTGTGGGAGTATTCTATGCGTTCAGCAGATCAGTTTCGATCTGAAGAGAGTTAGCAGCAGCAACCATGGGTCTCGTGAATTTCAAAGTAATTCTTAGAATTTTGGGTAATGTTTGACCCCTGGAGACGGCTTGTGTCAGGAAGATATTCATGAATTGTTGTGATGCCATTGTTGTGGACTGGATGGAAATTTTTAGGGTGAACATTGCTTCGCACATGGTGCTGCTTCTTGCGAGAGAGTGAGCTTGATTTCTGCTGCTGCAACTATTCACTTACTGGTCTCTCAGACTGTTCGCTGCTTACATGGTTTCTGCATGCGATTATCGCAGATCTGTTGGATCCGATCATCCATTCACGTGTTGATTTCTTAGTTTTGGCTTAAATTTGCTGCTAATCATTAATTGGTTTTCACAACTATTTACAACTATTTTTGTTGCGTTCAGGGAATGTCACTACCATTTGTAGTCACTGCCATGTCGTCAATGCAAGTATTTTACCCAATTGAAGTTTTCTATTGAATGAATTGGCACAGAATTGGCATAGTTTGGTACTTAATGGACAAAATTACAACTAGTTAATTAGTGGAATGATGTTACAAATTTTATATTAGTTATTTGTTAAATGTAACAATTGTGGAGTAATTAGATAATGTAAGAAATAAGAGTCTTTGACCTAATAGAACTCTTCCATTATTATAATCCCATTTTTTCCAAGATTGTGAAGAAAAAGACAATGCCAAATTATTTTAACATTCCATATGTTTGCATTTTGCTCAATTGTTGTATGGGCTTCAAATTGTAGGCTTTCAAGTCCTAGAAATCACTATCAATGTATCTCATTATTTTAATGAATTTACATGCCTTGCATTATATTTGACATATGCATAAAAGAAGATGAAGGTAAGTGTGTTCTTACTTTGATAGTATAGACTAATAATTTTTAAGTTTAATTTTTAATTTTTATTGTTTTATTATTTTCTACTCATTGGTTAAATAATATTTTAATAATGGATTTGGTTTATTTTATTGTGGTAGTGGTACTTGTATCAGAATCAGTACACAACAAGAAGAAACACAAGCTTATTATTGGAATTCCTTGTATTGTATTTGCAGTTAAAATGTATGTTTCTCCACTTATTAGAATACTATATTTATTACCTATATCCACACCTATAATTACTCTTTTAAACATTATTTTTATGTAGGGTCATTTTTTATTTTTCATTTTTTGGAGAAAAATAGTAATTCAATCTCAAAATATAGAGTATGTTCTGTTTTTTATTTTTTAAATTTTTTATTACATTTTTTATTTTTATTTTCTAAAAGTATAAAGATATACAATTTTTTACTTGTTATTTAATATTGTTGTTCATGTTATGTAGATAAGAATTAAATAATAATTAAGTGTTAAACAATCATTTACAATTATAAATCTAATTACTAACATATATTAAATTTAATAGCTCGTAAATAAGTTTATTTACTAAATTTATGTCTTTCACTTTTCTTTAAAACAGACATACGGATAAAAATGCATTAGATTTAAATCTTTTTAAACTTACTAATATAAAAAACTTTTGTAATTATTTTTCTAAAAGAATCTACATTTGAAACATTTGAAATTATGCTTATAAAATCGGGATTTGAAATTTATTTTATAAATATTATCCAAAGCCAAAGGTGCAAAAATTAGTCCCCCAATTGGTCAACACCCTACCTAGAATTCCAACAATTGGTCAACTTTGCCAAATAATATATATAGATATAGATATATGTATTATTATAATTATTATTATTATTATTTTCCTTGCATTATTGCTCCTAGTACCATGAATTTCCAAGTGGAGGTCATGTAACTCAAATAACTCACACCAAAGTTGTCAATGTTCTAGAATAAGTCTGTTACATGTCATAGCATGTTGAAATTGTGTCTAGCAAATATAAAGTATGCATTGAATCAGTGTTATAAAAGAGTTCCATTGAAGATGAAGAAGACGAGAATAAAGGAGACCCTCATCATGTCCCCCACTCTTATATAGTGGGAACGCAAGTGAATTTGGAGGGTCGCACCGCTGTAGATACTCTCTAACAATGCCTCTAGCTCTGCTGCTATTTGTGTGAGCTTGGAAGCCGAAATCAGAGCCCAAAAGTTGCAGCTCTGTTGCAGTGTGTTAGTATTTTGGCTGTCGTTCGAAACAGAAACCTGTTGATGGAGGGATTCATTGTTTCACAAATCTCAATCAAAACTAACCATCATAGATCCTTACCATCAACTTTTCAAGCCTTAGATGAACCACTTCTGGTTGCAAGAAACTAGGAAGAACTTATTACACTGAATCACACGGTTTCATGAATGGACCCATCAAGTATTTACTTTTGTAGAGCTCATGAACTGTTACTATTCAAGCAAACTGCTCTGTCGGGCACTAGATGACCGACTGTTATACAAATGATCTGGTTGAATTATATCACATTGCCACAAATGACTGTAACATTCCTACGTCAGTCTTTCACTGATAATAATCTCTCACTATGGTACACATTGTTGTGAATGGAGGATATACAAAAAAGGAACTTCAACAATGGAATTCATCATCAACAAAACTCAGCTCATGTTCCTTAAGCCAAACTCTATCTCGATACGTTCCAGATGATAACAATCACGTACTCGCTGATGGTATGATCAGAGAACAAAAAAATTAAATCTTCTTTCCGCACGTGACAAATAGCATCACGAGGAAGCCAAAAGAGCATGCCTTACTTCACAACCCCCAGAAATTTCTTGGCTTCCCAAGGAAAATCACAACACCTATCTTGAATTTCAATGCAGCGATGTGTAATGCTAATATACCTATCACCTAGCTCTTGACAGGTCAAAGAAGCCTTCAAAATCTCTCCTATTCTGCGGAGGACTAAATTTGTGGACAAAAAATTCTTTCATATCAATAGGCAAATTCTGCAGGGATGAGCAGGGCGGAATCCTGTAATAGACCTAACGTCACTAGATGATTGGCTTCCGCAAATTTTCGTAATTCAAACCAAAATAGCGAAGGCTGAAGCGAAATGAGCAAGCTGTACCTTCTTAGTATCAATCAGATGAGAAATAAGTTGTAAAGAAGAATCTTCCAAACCGTAGGAGCCCTCGCAATAGTACACCTATTATTGTGACTCGACAACTTCAGCCCTCCAAAACACCTTCGTTCCAACAAAAATGCGCTCTTTACCTGATGTTCCTGGTTCGGGATCAAAAATTTCAAACTTCCATTGAATGGCTTTGGCAATTTTTGAAACTCGTGAAAGCATAGTAGGAGTATCCCGTATTATGATTGTTCCCTCTGGTCGAAGAATCCGGTCCATCTCAACCATAACCTCTGCTAAGCTGCACCTGAACGTTTCAAACAAGGAGGTTAGAGTCTGCATATCTCCACCACTGACGTCTTAATGAAAGAATTCAACAGCCGTTATGTAGATATTCGGCGCATACCCAAACATAACCAGATAACCTCCTCAGATATTTAAGCCATACTCAACAACTTGGCCAGCTTGAAATTAACTTCAAATGGAGTAGAAAGAAGCAATAAGTGAATTCGTTATTCAGTTTGAAATAGGATAACAAAAACCTCATTCGGAAGATGACACCAACCGTCAGACAAAGAAAGTTAGTAAGCAGACCTCTTGTCCAATGTGGTGAATGGTTGCAGGGGAGCCACGTGCAATAAGTCATACGTTCGTGGATACGTCGAAAATGCTTCACACCTAACCTCGCAAACAAGCACTTTGTTAGACTCTCAATGTCATAACCAATTGACAGACACTTCCACCATAAACTTAAGCAAAATCTGAAAGGATATGACGGGTTGCTTTCATTTCTGTGGCAAATCCCTGGATTGGTGTAGAAAATGAACATAAAGAATATTTTCGTTAACACTAATTCTTCGTTCCGGACATGTCAATCAGCACTGCAAGCTGCTAGACAATCGCTAATCCATTCGGGCCATCATACTATAAAAGTCGGAATACTTGCCAGTCATGAACGACTCCAAGAAGCCCTCGATCATAAATTGTGCTCAGAGTATTTGGTCCAGTAGTTGGAATTACATTCATAACCCATACAGGATCGTTTCTGGACATCAGATTGGCGGCGAAACCCCCATATAATGCATTCATGTCCATAACATTGCGATATCGAGAGGTTCCAAATCCTATCTTCAATGTCTGCAATAACCAACCGTTAAAAATGTTCCTAAATCATGTTGTATCTTCCAAGTTCATGAGCTAGAAGTCACCCATACTGTAAAACCAACCAAGCTGGAGTTAATCCGGCTATGGCAATTTAATACGACAATACAAATTCCTCGAAATTGAAATCACTACTTCATCTGTGAGGATGAACACTAACGAATTGCGCCACGCCAGACAGACGAAACGACAGTCTGAACCTTAAAACTATGTAACCAACTAGAGAATGTCTTTAAGAGCGAGCCGTGAACAATTGAAAAATCTATCAGATGATAGCATCCAGTGCACGACTAAATCTTTGCTCCTCACAGTTGCATTTCTATACACAGATTTTTGGATGAGTAATCGGACCACATAGTAGCTGTTATGTGAAGATGTATACACGAACCTCTACGTAGTGACGGATTCGACGACCCCACCTCCTTGTATCCTTATCAAATTCTGCGCTCTCCACATTTCGCGCTTCCAAAAGTCGCTTTGGAATCATGTCTGGACGTTTCTGCCAATTTGGCTGATCCAACAGAGTATCAATGGCATTCACTGAAGGTCGAGTAATACACTCGACCAATTCAGTATTCCTGTCAAGCGGAAATGTCAAGGCACTCGTTTAATGGATGTTCACCCGAAGAACTTGTGGACACTAAAAGTTACCTTTCAATGAGCAGCTACACTCAAATCGTTAACAATATTGAAATGAGATACCAGCGCCAACAGATGACAGAAATAAAATAAAGCACTATCAAATTGATGAATAGCGTACAAATGATACAGGGACTCCAGGCAAACCAGACACTTACCACGCATTGTCAGGGTCGTCCTCGTGACAGAAAGATGGAACCTGCTTTTCACGGGCGCGATAACATGATGTGTTTAAGGGTTTTTGCCAGATAACTGTTTTATCTACTGCACCGATTAATGAATAACACATTTTCTCGACGACGAATTCTTGAAGAACCTCGTACTCTCTCTCTTTACCCTGAAAGTTTACTGGAGGGCCAGATAATACAAAGTACCCGCCAGGTCGCAGCAGCCGATCAACCTCAATGAAGTAAGAACCATCTGCATAAAATTATTTGTTAATACCATACAAGAAAGCAGAGAACTAGAATCTCATCAATAATCGACTTTCATATACAAATATGCTATAACGCAAATGAAACCTGAAAGACGGTCGATAAAACACGTTAAATTTCCAACAGGATTGGAACAGAAATGAGGGTCTCGTACACATAAAGAGCACTGAAGTTGCCAAATAAACAATTTAAAATCAAAAGCGCTCCTAACTAATGCTAAGATGTCCTCAATTGCGTATGGGTAAAAGAAAAATAAAATATGAAAACTTACTGAAGGCTGCAAATGGGACGAGGCAGCGCGAGCAGTGAACAAGGTCAAACGACAATGAAGGAAATGGAAGTCGTTGTGTGGCGAGCATGCCAACAACAGCTGGAAGGCCTCGTTCCAAAACAAATTGAATCTGTGCCTTGTGCGAATCACGTGGGGCAACCGACATCGTAAGAACCTCCTTGTTGATTAGACAGGCCCCAAAGCTAGCAACCTGCGGAAAGTTAACCGTTTCAGTTGGTAAATGAAACAAAGAAAGTAGAGCCAAATGTTTCTATTACTAGAGGTTTGCTCGTGTGATAAACGAGCATGATATTCATATGGTGAAAATTGTGCTAAAAACTTGAAGTTAATAAGATGAAATAAAACAAAGTGCAAATTAAACGTAGTTTGACGGCATTCACAGTTAGACGTGAATTGACTGAACATCCTGTCGAAATTACAAATTGGTAATCAGAGGCAATAACATCATATTTTCAAGTGGAGAGACGAGTAAACTGGAAAAGAAAGGTCATAAAGGAACCTTACCCCACAGCCTATGTCCAATGCAGTGCGAATAGCACTAGTCCTTAAAGGAATATATTTTTCAAGCTTCTGCACATATCTCTCTGCTCCTTCTGAAAACATAGTTCCCCCACCTGGAAACACGAAATAGTCACCCTCTTGTACCATCCATCCTTGATCTGACTTCAACTCCGCTATTTTGTTGTGTGGAGTATTGTTAAACCATATCTGGCAAGAACAGAACAGTGGATGGATCTCTCAGACACCAGAATTTTCCATAGTATTCCACAAATGAACGTGTCTACAGTATATATATGAGTGAAATTCATCCACCAGGACAGCAGTGCGTCATAAACAAACTCGGAAGCTTACTTTTCTTAAACTCTCAGGCCATCGTACAGGGATTTGGTAGTCAGGGGGAGGAGGAATTAGGCATCTCAGCTTTTCTTCAAAGGGGGGACAGTGGCGTTCTCTGTAGTGGTTACGCTCCTTCGAGAAAGATCTTGCTCGCTTGGGGTCATGACACGGCATGATATCAGCGAGTCGAACCGGACAAGATTCAACGAGAAGTCCATGCTCCACCTGATCCCAAAAGCCTGTACCAAAAAATCAGACTACATGGTATTACGACGTAACAGATGCAGAAAACACCTAAAAATACAGGCGACAGAGTTAAGAGACCCATAGCAATGTACTTTTCACTATGAAAAATAAATTGGCGTATACATCAGTGCACCAATTTCGGCAATCAAGGAAAAATGTGATATCTATCACCACTTTCTGAATTGACGAGTTCCCAGAAAGCTAAATAATACTCGAAAGAAACGAAATCTTTTCCAGAACAAAGTTTCGCTGGAAACATTTTTGTAGTGTCTTATCTTAGAGTAATGACCATAACTTATGCACAAAACGCAAAGAAAATGTACACGATGAAAGTGTTAAGTTAAAATAGGGCTCACCATTGCTGGTAGAGTCTGCTCGTAGAGCCGCATCCAGCTCTCGCTGCCCGGCAGTAGCCAGGGAATCTCCAAGAGATGTAAATATGAGTAAGAAAAGTATCATTAAAGCCGCCATCATTGTGAAAATGATAATGTCTAGCAGCTGCCATTTCCTCCCAAGCGGCTTATCTCGTTTTCCTTGCGGAGTGGTAGCCATCTTACTCGATCACAAAATTACCTTGACTCTTACGTGAATCCAAACTCTACGAATGACTCAACCTAACATACTGTGCCTCACTAAAGCTCCTTTTAAGGAGTTTCCTTGTCCCTCATTTGCTCAAACTTGCAGGGTTAATCAAACACTGGCTTTAACATATTTACACTTCCTACAACTCTTCAATCGACTTTTCGTGGCTCCTCTCTCGCCATGAGATCCACTTATTGAAAAAACCTGGAGGCACCAACCAACGTTTTAAATACATACACAAGACGATATGCAAAGACGACATCCTCCAAACACATCGTTACCTGACAAATTGCAGACCTAAAACTACGACGCAAGTAGCCTAGTGGCCAACTCTCACAAGCCAAAAGCTGGCTTCCTCGTCCAAGAAGACAGCTACAAGCACTCAAAACTCTAAACTGCTTTCGTGACCTTGGAACACTTTGATTGAATTTGAATGAGATGGACAAGAATGACCTTGGACCCCTCATGTCAATGCAATCTTTTAGGGTATTATTAAATTAAGAAACAATGCAAATAAACAAAATCTCCAAACGTAAAATCAGTGCCTCTCAGCAAATCTCAACACTGAATCTGAGACTGCAAACTAAAGTCAATAAATTGTGCGACAACTCTAGGTTTGCCTCGCATCTACCAACCCGAAGTCAATCAACAGACACTTCACAAACGTGAGCAGAACTTCAGACCACTGTTACCGACTGGATTAAAACCCGCAAACCCCAGATCTCTTCAGACCGAACCACTCTCCACACATCTACTCCGCAATAAACAGAATTCCTTCACAAACCTCCCAACGCATCCTTCACAACTACACATCATTGTTCGAATCTCCAGTGCTCAAACCACCAATACACCCCCCACAAATATCGCGGACTCTAAACATTCAATTCAAGATCCGGCATCAACCGCATCCACGTCGGCAACTGTATCTCTTCTTAGGACTCCGACCCTTCACCCAAAACCAAAAATCTCTCTCCACCATGCAAAATGCCATACCTCAGATCGTCACTATCCGCAGTGATCCTCAAACCCTTTCAAAATGCGGCCGGAGTATGTGCCCACTCACAAAAAGTGAGACGCTACAACACAAATCACCGGAGCTCATTCAATCGAAGCCCCGATTTGTACACCTTGCTCAATATTGCAGCTCCGTAGCTCCACAATGACAGCTCTGGAGGTGTCGATTCAAGAATTGGGCTAATCTAAGCTGACGCAGGCTTGATCTCCAAAGGAAAAGACATCGTGGAAAAGGAGAGTAATATGGTCTCAGATTATAGCACGGGTTGGCGACGCTATCTTCAACGAAGTTCGACGAAGTTCCTAAACCAGAAGGGGGATCTTCAACGCGGAACTATCTTCAGGCACAGCACGAGTGCCGTCATCAGATTGACTCTCACTGCGCATCGTTGCGCATTTGATTGATTACTGTTAGTCTTACTATTCTTGAGCTGCATCTTCTATTTCCGGCGCAACTGATTATTCCACCCTGATTCCTGGGAACATTGCTTTTTTAGGTCTACCTTCTTACAAATGTACAGAGTTTGTTGAGGCGACGAACTTCTTCTTATCACCGTTGACACTCAGAATTGGTTTTCATATTGATGTGTACAGCATGTCTATCTGCGGTACTAGCCACTGTACAACTTCGATTATTGGTTGGGTAGTCGAGGATATTTCTGCGGCTACTACGACTTGTTACAATTGTCACCGTTCGAAACTTTCGTCAGAAAGACCACATCGCATTTTGTTAGAGTTGGGGATGCATACCTGGGGTGCATGCTTAGGGTTACACTTGAAAATACATGTTTAAGGTTTAAGAAACATAAGCCTGAGTAGAGTGATTTACGTAGAACAGTTATGGATCCAGGAGTCAATAGTGATTGCAATGAACATGATAAAAACTTCAAGCATCTTAAATTTAAAAACTCTCGCCGGTAGATATCGAACATGAATAAACTCTTCTGAAGTTGTTTATTACGAGTTCAAATGAAGAATATAAACTCATTTTGTCAATAACAGAGACATACAATGTGGACATAAGTGTGTGTGCGCATCTATGTAAATATATATAATTTACTGAGCACTATCATTGATGTATCTTTGATTTAGACAGATAGAAGGTTTATTCCAATGTAAGCTACAACAGTTTACTGGCAGGGCAAAGCTGCAGAAGTTATAGATTTTTCTAAAGCTAATCGGAAATTATAGATATCCATCTTGCCTGACTCACTATTGGAGATACACAGATATCAAAAGGATAAGTACATGGCTGAGAAAAAGTAACACTCAGTCCGAATATGATGCTACACAATACAAGTTTGAACTAAACAAAGTCCAAAATTGACTACGTCACCACAAACTGACAATTATTGAATACATTGACTGAAAAACATGATTTATCCCCCGATCCAAAAGCCTAGCCATGCCCAGCATCAATGAAACACCTGATATTGCTTATTAAGCTTCTACACTCAAGTCGTCGCCATGGTTCGGAACAACAGCATCCAACGAATTGGTTTTGAGATAGTCCTTAGCAGGGATATCCTCATTCACCATGAAATCAAAAGATCCTCTCTTTGATGTCCCTGCCAGATAATCACTGGTGACAGAAATTACTTGAAACGCAGCCTTCAAGCATTTTGCCTTCACCTCTTCGAAGCGCTCCTGAGAGAGAGAAACCTCAGCCATTAATCTCCATGCGTAACCCTCAGTGGCAAGGTCATAGTCTTTCCTTCGCTTCAGCACAATGTGGCCGCTAATTTCCCACACCGCAGGATTTACCTGTGTCTCTAAAATGTCTTCGTCCACCTCACCTCGGGCTTGTCGTTCAGCAAAGCACTGTGGAAGGAGGAAGACTCTGGAGCCTCTGTCAGTGATTAGCACGTTGTATGGAATATTTTCATTCTGAAGATAGATGCAGGCATTCGCGACGGCTATAGAAAGATCCACCATGCTGTTGCACATCTCGAACACAAGACCTCTGACTGGGAACATCGTGAGTTCATACACTTTCACACCACTCTTCTTCCTGCCGTAAGACACTCTAGTAGCGGGTGCTCTTTCAATGGGAAAGGGGGCAGCCAAGTAATATGCCTACACAAACATCATCTCCAAATTAGTCCAAGGCGCGCTAAATTATTCCGAGTGCAATCCGATGCAAAGAGGTTTATCATTGAAATTTTCTCATCACTCCACACTAGTATGCAAGAATCGACACCTTAAGGATAAAAATTGGCAGGTAAACTACCTGAAAATGCAAGTGGTTGATTGTAGCAAATGCACCAAGGCTGTTGTAGCCCAAACGAAAGTAAGGATTATTTGCCTCCGCTGCCATGTACAAAGCTAGTAAGAATGATTCCTGATCAATTCGTTGCGGCAGGCGATCCAATACACGGGGAACCAACAGAATATGTCCATATTCGATTGGACTAACCTGCAGTGAATTAATATTTTTAGTCAAATGATACAGTGAACCATCAGATATTCGACTAGAGTATGAAGACGTTGCTTGCAAATCTGGACTAGAACATACAGAACTCCGCAGTTAATTTCATAACCAATCTGTTGATGCATCAAGTGGATGACAAATAAAATAAAATAAGATAAGCATAAAAAATCCCGATTACAGTGAAGTTAACGTGAGTAAAATCCAAATACACAGCCTAAATTCCAACTTATCTCGGAAATATTGAAACGTACATTGATAGCAACCACATTGGGACTGCTTGACACTGTAGCTTTCTCATAGTACTCGCTCATATCACTGTCGTTTGGCATGAATTGAAACAGAACCTCCTCTTGGCCAACCTTAGTGAAATTAAACTTCTTCGGATCAAATGGCTGGAGTACTTGATCAATACGAAACTCCGTTGGCCGTTTCTGCAAGTGTCTGCCTTCGTTCAGTTGTGCAATAAAACCACAATCTCCTGGAAGCATCTGCGACAAACGACAAATATCCTCAGTTTCGTATGTCAATTTGTAAACACTCCAAGAACTCACTTCAATCATCATCGTCATCTTATTCGCACACAAATCATACACTGATGCCAGCACCAAATCCCTCAAACTCGAGATCGAATTAAAACCATCATACATGACTCTTAAAACCATACAAGAGCATAGTAAAAGTCAAAAAAAAAATCTTAGAAAACCCTGTTTAAACATCATCTTAACTAGAATTCTGCGCGGCGATCGATGTAGACAATTTGATGATTGGGAATAAACTTTAATAGAGCAGGTCCTACCTTAGTCTCGCAGGCTGTCACGTCATAACGGAAAAGTCCACGAGCCATACGATCCTCCCACTGTTCAAAAGAATGACCAGGTTAAAATCATTCCCAATTAGCAAAAGTCACACAGCAAATAGTATTAGCGATTGCATGTAAACGCGAACACCCGCAAAAATCATCAACGTGGGATAAAGGACGATTCACCGCCAACAAAATAGCCCCACCTGTGCGAGGAGCAATTCATCGAGGAAGTAATTCTCCTGCGGAGAGACGTCCGATTCTTTGACACTATCGGGTACACAGTGGTCGTCACTGCCAGTGTGCGCCCTCTTGTTCGAACCCGAAGATTGCCTTACACCAAAAGCGTAGAGCGGTAACTTTGCTCCTGCATAGTAAGTCATTCAGATTAAATATCAGTTCCCGCCCCAAAAAAGATTACGAAATTTGCCACTTCAGAGTATAATGAAATGAAATCACAACTGATTCACAAGTGTGCATGGGTGAGAAAGTACTGACCAGGAATGCAACAGGTCCCAAGACAGTCTCGGCCACATCCAGGAACTTGCTCCAGCTGCTGGTGCATTGAAACCACAGTCTCCACTCTCTTGATGGTCAACATCTTCGCTATCTTTAAGGTCTACTAACCCTTTACTGCTGGTGGAAAAGAAAACACTGACTGTCGCAACCCTCTAAGGAGCGGCACAGAGGTGAAAGTTGGAGTGACGACCTCCCCCAGCAAGAGCAGAAAGGTCAGAGGGTCGACCGCCTTCACTGGGGGTGGCCCCCCGGCCGCCGTGCAAGGAAGGGGAAGACGAGATAGAGCGGGACAATTGGTTTCCCGTGGGGTAGAAATCTTCACTCATACGGGCGCGATGTTCGCTTTGCAAAGCCGTGGTGTCCACTGAATCGAACCTGGGGTTGTAAGTAGAAAAAACTTCTCTCCGAGGGTTGCCAGCGTTGATATCCGCAATCACCAGACACAAGAAGTCGCTAGCAAGAACTAGAATAGTCTTCTCAAATCAGAAGATTGGCATACATTCCCCGAAGACGAGGCCTTCGCACACAGTGACAGAAGAATGCTACTTCGCTTAATCTCAAATAAACACGGATGTATAGAACTTGAAACCTTTCGAACCTCACGATGGCGTCGTGTGTAACCCTGTGCAAGATCAAGAGGACAAGCCGTTGAACTCCAGCTGATGCCAGGAACCCTCGGAGGGGAGAGGAGGATTGAAATGAAAAGTGATATCCGCAATTGGTGATATGCAATCGAGTTGCGACACCCCCACAACAAGCGCACTATCTAATGAACATATCTACGTGAAATACAGAATGTGTAGAATTTCAAGGCAAAAAAATGAAAATCTCTTGTGAGTTCCAACATGTGAGCTCACAAAACCTTTATCTGCAGGAATTCGTGCTGCAAATCAACCCTAATCGAGCACACGTCGGTTCCCAAATCGCCAATTGACGAACGACATTCACCTCGTTTCGGAAACAAAGGCGGAGGGCGTCACACCTGTTGCATTTTTACAGGCAGACGCGAGATATGATTAGGACCTTTACCGTCAGAAAAGGACGGTAAAGCTCAAGGACCACAACTAGATCACCACGCCGGAGTGCACGGGTAGAAATCAATCTCACAACTGCTGGCGACTCCTGGATCGCCGGCTGACGACGCACTCGCAGCGCGAGTTGCCACACAGGCCTGTCGAGATTACGCAGGCCAGTGTGCCGGTGGAGACAGGATACGGTGAGTTGCAGGGGCCCTTTATAATTTGGGCCTTGAGCAGTGCACGGATATCATTTGGATGGAATGTTTGATTTGGATGAAATTACATTATAAAAGTTTCATTGCACATCCAGTGGAACCAATTATATATCTTCTTCTTCTGTTTTCTTTAACTTTTTCTTTTCGTTTTAAGATTGAAGCTTCAATTGCATCCACATGCCATGGTATCTTTGGGTCCGACACGTGAACTCTAATAATATTGGTGAAAATTGTTGTAATGATTAAAAGGAGTTTAAACATTATTTTTAAGGTGGTCATATAGAAAATGAAGTGGTTCACAAATGATGGCTTTTACAAGCATTGATTCCATGGCTCAAAATTTCATAATATATGACACCATGCCTTATTGTAGTTTTGGGTTTTCGTCTTATTCTCAAGTATCCTGTTCCTGTCCAGGTTTTCGTTTGATTAAATTTGAACATGGCACGGACAATATTAAACGTGTACATTTCTGTAGGTGTGAGTGCACATACATGTATATATCCAGTTTCTGGAAAGTTTTGGCATTTTTATCAAATACTTATTTAATCCAAGTAAGAACTAAGATTATTTAATTCTTATGTAATTTTAAGTGATACTGGTTCAATATTTTTAATATTATTGTGTCTTGAGGAATTTATTTAAATTTGTCCCCATGCTTTAATGCATTCAACATACTATACATATACATATACTAGACATTGTTTTAGCATGCAAAGTTCACAATATATTTTAAAATATTGGTTTCCGTCTCCCATGTGTAAACAGAAAGAAAATATATTGGTCAACAAGGCATTTCAACAACCAAATGCAGCTGCATGGTGGAGTGCATTATTTATTCCACAATAAATTTAATCGAAATTTCAAACCAGTTGAATGTGTAAAGTATTTCGAAAAGAATATGTTTTCCCCCATGGTGTGTCATAAAAGAAAAGAAAAGGAAAGGAAAGAGAAGTTTTGTTGATGAAACTGAGAGAGTAACATGGGAATGCATTTTGTACTTAAAAAAGACTGAAAAGAAAATCTTTAACATAGAGAATTTATTTGTCTCCTTTGTTGTTGATGTTGTAGCTCCCTTATTTTCAACGCTGCAGTATGTTCTTATAAGAGAGGTACAAAATAATTTCCAGTAAATATGGTTCATCAATTAGACCACTACTTGACCGCACACCAATTTTCTCTTAAAAAACTTGATAACAGCAACAACATGCAATTATTGCCACCCATCGCTGATTCAGGTTAAAAGTTACCAGAATCCAAAAAGCAAAAAAACCAACGCAACAGAGGATTGAGGGAATAGTGCTGCTTTGAAGCACAGAACGCCGAATGTCAGCCGATTCCTAAATTCGTGTGCGCCGCTAGACGATGAAACTACCAAGCAAACAATGACTAAATGCTTGGCTCCACCTGGCAGAAAACTAATTGTGTGCAACAGCATGTCCTTCGAAACTTCTAGCAACCAACAGTTCCATAAACCTTTGACGGCGCATCGGAATTTGACCGGATCCCTTCAGCCGCAGCCACAGCCACAGAAATGGAAGAAGCCCCGCTGTGAGGTGACAAAGAGTAACGGTGGACGTCGCTAAAGACTCCACACACAAAACCTCGCACCAGACTCATCTTCCCCGGAATCTCACTGGTTTCGCCCCTCATTGCTCACAGTATCCACGTGTTCCAGAATTGTGGTCCCACGAAGTGCCGACAATTCAACCACAATCACGTTCCCCCCGCGACAAGTGAAAATGGCTGCTATTTCCGTCCACGCCGATTCCGAACCTCTCACCAGATTCATCCACGTCTAGCGAGGCAAGACCATAACCCTATCGTGCGTGATTCCGCGTCCGTACTTTCTCTCAACGATGATATCACAGAGCCAACTGAGAGGACGAGAATGAAAATAGCCGGTTACGATGCGCAATCGCCGGAACAAAAGTGTGCTCATTTCTCAAAAGAACGGAGACGCGTGGCCGCCAGTGATGCGAGCGACAGGGAGCCGCGGTGCAAGGCGCGTGAGTGGCAAGACGAAGCTGGAGGAGCTACGAGGGAGGAGAAAGTTCGAGTGGCCGCTGGAAGGAAGGCGGCCTTGTGAGCGCACAGCGGCGGGAAAGGGAGACGAGGACAGGGGGTTGCGACAGAATTCCCCCTTCACCAACCCCACCCTCCTTCCGCCACAATTTTCAAACTGTTCCCGTTCTTTTTCTCGACGTCACCGTCGTCCGCACGTGTCTATGGCGGGGATTACAAAATTATCTCTATACACCAGTCTTGACGACCACCTGGGGCACAGTCAGCAAAGCCACGTCGATTGTTTGCCACGGAGGTTGCCACGTGCACCGGGGCTGATTCCTACTTACTTTTACTTTTAAGGATAAAATAGTCCAAAATATCACAAGTTCGTAAAATAATGCTTGAATATTTTCAACCGATACATTTTATTTTTACGAATTGCTTCCAATTCCTATTATTAAGCGATTTCCTAGCTTTAATTTCTGGAAATAAGAGTTATCCCACAAATTGGTCGATTGTTTTACTTCAAAAATTAAATGCACTTGCAAATTTTGGTATGGTTAATAACATGTTTATTGTGATAAAAATGATGCATTTAATTTTGCTTGAAACAACTCAAGACAACCTTAATGATTGCGTAGGGACTCACATGTACAATAATAATAATAATAATAATAAAACTTTATGCGACAAATAAGATGAATAAAAATAAGATATGTGATTTCTAAGAACACATCTGTAATTTCTTCCCATGAAACATTAACTATAAGCTAAATAGCAATTAATTCTTTTAATAGATGCCACAATGATTAACCAGCTCCTACATTGAAATGAAAAATATTCCATTCATAAAAAGCACAAAAAGAAGAATATGGTGCTCAATTTTCTATTCCGCTTTCAAAATTCCTTAGATTTTATGTTACAAAAAATAGCCAAACTATATTGCCTTCAAAACAAATTACCAACTCACAATCAAGTCTCATTATGTATGTACATGTACACAAAAAATACATATGTATTAAATATTTTTTAAAAAAATTCATGATAAAAATTATTATTTTGATAAATTATTACATGTTCTTTATAGAAGTGTTAATAATAATAACATCAATATTGATTGAAATTGAAGACTTTAATGTCACCTAAGACAAGCTAGAGTAAATTATATACAGAAAACCTAAAGAGGATATTAAACTGTTGTTAGGAAGAAAATATTACCAGTTATTTACTTTTCTGAAAATAAAAAGGACCATTTCATCCCATTATGTGTTAACTATTCTATTATATTTAAGCTGAAATAAGAAATATTTGTATATTATGTGTTTACTCTATTTATATTTTTAAGAATTCTCATGATAAATATTTTGCATTCAATTAATTACATTCAAAAATTAATAAATTTGAACTTTAGTAAATCCTATGATGATTTGGTTTTAATTTATATATATATATATATATATATATATTTATACATTATATTTTTTTGGTTAAAATAAATAAATTTATATTATTAGTCATTTATAAATAATATATTAAAATTTTACAGCTAACTTAATTAATAATGAAAGGAGATGTAAATATCATTTGAGCTATTCTCTTTTGTCTGTATTCTATTTTTAGAAGAAAATATCTTAAAACTATAAATCTTAAATTTTAAAATTAGACACTATCTAATCATATATAAAATATGACTTTTTTAAATAGAAGAAAGACAACAGTAGATAACTCAAGTAAAATTTACATCTTTTTCTTTACTTCAACTGAACAAATAGAGATCACATGTATAGTAAATCCAAGGATCTTTCTTTATTTTCAACCTTCTTGATCAACCAATACAAAGTGCTGTAGTTCATTGATTTGATATTGGATTCTTTACATATAGATATAAATATTTATTACTACCTTCTATTTTATTGTATTTTTATCTATTGATTGATTTCTATAATCGTGTAGATTTTTATTTTATTTATTATTATAACCAAAATTTATTTGAAAAGTTTATTTGTTCACCTACAATTATAAATTTTGTTTTAAATTTTCTTTTGTTGTTTTAATTTCTAGCAAATAGTTCTACAATAGTTGAAAGTTAAATATAAGAAACAACTTTTTACCAATCTAATTATAAATTTCAAAGTTTTTTAATATATTTTAGTATTAAAAACTTATTTTTTATATTCTACTACTATGTAATATTTAATATAGTGAACATTAAAAATGCAATATATGACAAAGTAATTATGTTAAACTTAGACTTGAAAAGAATAACTTTGAAGTGATGTAAAGACCTAATGAGATTCTCTCACAAAATATGGCAATATTAATTTATTATTCTAAAAGACAAATTGAGACTTTTAAAAATAAATCATGTAAAATAAGAGTATTTTCAATAAAAATATAAAATTCTATTGATCATGTATTATATAAATACATAAATAACATTATTAGTTCAAGTTATTATAATTTTTAAAAAATATTTTATAAAATAAATTAAGATCTATTATTTATTTCAAAATTATATATAATAATATAATAAAACTTTGTTGTATTTTTAACCAAATATAATAGATAATTTTATAAGCAATGATTATAACTATAATTTATTATAAAATAATAAAACTTATAATTTTTATTATCTATTAAACTACCATCTATATATAATCTAAATAGGTATTATAAATCTCATAATATAAAATATGATTGTATAATATCATAATATTTTTAATTTTACTAAATTAAAAAAACTTCTATGACTATTGACATATCTAAACTATTTGAAAAAAGATACAAATTATACTAAAAAAATAAAAAATATTGTATTTAAATATAAAATTGATATATTATTTATTATATAGTATTAATATCACAAATATTAATAATAATATTAGTAATTAAAATGATAAGAAGAGTTAGGAAGCAATACATAAAATTAGATTAATTTGATAATATCTTTGTAATGAACTTCTTA